ACCTTTAAGATCATCAAGTCCCTTCAATGCCTTTGATTGTTTGCAAAACGAAATCATCAAGTAAAAATCCCAATGATGAAATTTATTATTGTCAAATGTTTGGCTGTAGGCACACGCTCAGAAATGTAGTACTCTATACCCTTTGTTTAGATGGCCAGCTTGAAAATACCAGTCATCTACAGCCACTCGCGCTCTAATGGTAATGAACATAAATGCACAATGCTGGCTTGAAATAAAACCTGAAATCATACCGTACCAATTCAGTGGCAAAGAAGCAATAATCCATCGTTGTGAGTGCTGAAGAAAATTTGTACTCTTGCCATAAAGCGTTTTGAAAGAAAGTAAGAATGCATTTTGTATGAAAAATGTGAGCAGTATGAAACAACCTAACAGTGTGAACAGACATGGTCAGTCCTTCCTGAAAATTTCTGCCATGATGGCATCAACCTGCTCCCCCACCAGGCATTCACATCAGTAGGACTCGAACTGGTTTCACGCAGTGACCCTTGCTGTGGTAGTTCACCATGGTCATCAAAAAGAGTCAGAGACAACCTCTGGCAGGGAGGCCAACCCTGCGCAAACCCTCCCTGACCATTTGCCCGATTTGTTCCAGTGCTCCTCAGTGACTTCTTCCAGTTGACCCACATGTTATTTGAAGACTTAAAACTGGACCTGGCACACTAGCTGAGGCCTTATTATTTTGAGAACAATGAAAGGATTACCTCAGGTGGCCTATAGTCAAAATTTCTACTTGACACCTTCCCCTCAACGTCTGTTTTGTGATCTGCTATAATCTCAAACACTGTTTTGCAGAATTGCCGCACAGCCAGAGACTATTGCACCTGCGTAGCAGGTCTTTGTTACTTAAGTACTCTTACCTATTTGCCCTGACCGAATTTGCTCCTCTTTCAGGTATTTTTTCTAGTTCATAAAAATAATTTCAAGCTTTAGTCCCACCTTTGGAAGCAATTAAACTATCTCCAGTTGATATAACCTGCTAATTTAACAATTGTCTTTTAGATATTGCATCACCAACAGAAATGAATGAATAACACCAAAAGCAAGACTGGTCCCTACTGAACATTGATTGCTGTACTTTTCCAGCTTGATGAGGAAAGACTGATAGCATTTTTCTGAACAGTCTAACCAGTTTTGTAGTATTTCGTAACAGCTCAAATGAGGCTCTTATCTCCTGCTTTGCTGTTAGAATGCCATGTTAAAGCAGCTGTTTCTCTTTTTTCTGAAGCTCATTATATTGCTTCTCAAGAAAATAGTTTCAAAAGTGTGTAATATTAACTTATTTTTTATTGGCAGATGTAAACCTAGGTCTAGACTTTTTTTTTCTAACCAACTACTTAATTAATTGATTATCCCTCTTCTGTGACACCTGAAGCAAAGACACTCAGCATTTTGGCTTTCCCTGGATTTACTATTTGCTCATTCTTTTGTGGACTCAACTTCCCTTCCCTTTCTAGTGTGGGTTTTACTAGGCTTTAGCAGTTGTAATTTATTTTGTATTTTTCTGTCCTTTTTCACACATTATCTGTCCTTTCTTTTACATTTATCCATAGCAACATGTTCTCCCTTTCTATTCTTGTTGATTTTTCTGTTTAAAGAACTTCTGATACAGTCATAATAGCCTCTTACTACATTCCCTGGTTTCCCACTGCATTGGCATAATTTGTCATTATGTGTCCTTTTATTAGTTTTCAAAGATGATAATCATTTATCATTCTGATTGTTACAGCCATTTTGTAAAGTAATCTGGAGTGAATTTCATCTGTCCCTACTTAGGTGAGAATTTCCAGCTTTTCAAAATGTGCCTTTTCAGAGAATATCTGCTCTCCTGAACCCTGGTCCTCTCCTTCAGACAGCTCCCTGGGGGACCACACTTCACAAACCTTTTTGTGTATAGAAGTGAGCTGATTTGAAGTCCGTGTAAATTCTATTGTATAGGTTGCCACCTTTGCCTAAAATTACAAAATTCTATTTTGTGACTAAGATCAAACCAGTTTCTTCTTCCAGATTAGCAAACAATTCCTCACTAGTCAGAATCAAACCTAAAATACAGTTACTTTCAAATCACAACCTCCATGAGACAGTGTCCTTCCGCATCCGTAGGCACATTTGTATGGGCTGCACCCTGCCGCAGCATTTTCTGCAGGTGTTACCAAGAAAATATCTGTTCCAAGATGGGTACCAAAGGAAGAGAGCTTTCAGCAAGGCCAACAGCTTCCCTTTTAGGGCAACTCATTTGTCACTTAACAGTCACGTTTTACCTTTCTTAAACATAAATACTCTGTGCTACTCTTCAGTCAGAGAAAATTATCAAGTTTTGGTAGCAGCTAGCATTTCTTGGGAAGGAATATGAGGTTTGTGTTCTGTTATTCTTAGGAATAAAGCCAGAGGTAAAAACAGCTGCATATGATATTTTTGAGAAATAAATTCAAGTTCTGACCATTAACTCTTATCTCTAATACTGGAATGACTGAGGCTACTATGCGAGTCTACGTAGTGATTCTCATACACATCAGAGAATCAAGATGTCAAATGTACAGGGAATGTCACAAGTCTAGAAGAAGTCTCCTTTTCCCACTAGAATACTTAATCTGCTGATCGCATCTATTTCTTTCCATTAAGTATCTTACATTTAGAATCAAATACCAAACCGAAGGAAAAAACAGCAGTGCAGGATAGAATGGGCTGGCCCTTAGGCTGGATAGAAAAAATAGTTTTAAGTAATACCTATCTTTAAAAGTTCCTTCACTTGTTAAATGAGTTGTTACATTTGAGACTGATCTTTGGATAAATGAAAGGTGCTGGTTAAATAAGAGCTAATCAATTACTCTAAACTGAGTAAAAGTAGTTTGTAGTTTTACCCTTAGAATGAAAACCTGTTAAATACATGGTCCGCTGGGAACCAGCACAAATGTCTGCATAAAGATTTGTCTAACTGAATGAAACAACAGAAATCGAATATTAATTCAGTTCTTTCTAAAGAGCCAACATCGTAAGTACAAAAAATAAATGCAGAAGACGGAAAGAGAACACCACCATCACTCAGAAGACTTAAACTTATTCTTTATGATGCACTTTCATCAAAATTTGTAGTTGCCAGGTATCAAATTTCATTCATGCAACATCAATCCACTAAGAAATACATATTTTGGTGAGAAAATTAAAGTCCATATTTATGTAAAAACTGTTTAAAAAAAAATAAAACAAGATTTATTTTTACCAAAAATTTTTTTTTTTTTTTTACTAACAGAATAATTATCTGGAAAAAGTAATTTCCCACATGAGATAGTTAAAGGAAGTTAAATATATTTAAAAATGGAAGATTCTGCATTTATATAGTTATATGCCATTAATATTGAAGATATGCTTTCTGGCAAAAAACTTCTCATGCTTAAAAAACCCACTTAGTTTTATACTGTACATTACAACATAGAGTAGTAAGAAACAGAAGTAGTAAACAGGTTATATGCAAAGAAAAAAGTTACAGTACAAGACAGTTACAAGTGTGACACAAAAAAATTAAAATGTTCAGTTTTAACAGTATTTGAAGGCAATTCACAATCATTTCAGGAGTTTTGTGAAATTTAAGGCCATTAGTTCTAAATAAAATGTATCTGACACAAACTCACAAAACTGTGTATTTTGTAAAAACTGTACATGCAAAACCATTTCATAATTATATATGAACAGGCATATAATAAAATTTTTGGGTAGTTCCGTACACAAAATTGTGCACAAAGCAACATGGTTGTGCCATTTTTAAACCAGTTAATTAACATTATCATTCATGCACCCTGAATGGAAATGCGATTCAATGACAATATTAAACCCAAATATTAAGAGCCAGCATCCCTTTGAATGGGCAATCTAGACAAAAAAAGTGAAAATTTTAAATTAAGTTTAAAATGGTCCATTATAAAACATCTGCTCTAATCACTCCAAAAGACTTCTCTGATCCAAAATTTCCAGTGCTTTAAGGAATGCATGATAAGATTTAATGAGCTCAGTGAGTCAGCTATAATACTCTGATAGTTCTGATTTGAGGTAATTTTCTTCAATTACTTATAGCAAGTTACTCTTTCTAATTTGCTTCAGTAACTAGTTTAAAAAACTGTAAACTTAGATAAACTTAGAAATTGGAGAATCTCTGAAAAAATACACATACCTCCCCCTGAAATTTTGGCGTTAGTCCTAAATCATACGCAATTACGTTATTCACATTTCAGGAGTTTATTCTCAAACTGCGGGATGAATGGATTACTGAGCACTGACCGAAGCAATTCGGGTATCGGAAAACACATACGTATTTGTCCTTTCCTTAGCTTTCATTTGTATTTGTCTGGACAAACATTCAAAGAGATATTGCTTCTCTTGTTATCTTGTGACAAACTATTGCAAGCTAGAAGACATGTGAGTCAATATTCCAAACTTTTATTCTTAAGAATAGTTATAAAAGTACTGAAATTTAAAAATAGTAACATGTAAACATTGATACAGAGTAATAGCATTCCTATACATTTATATATACACAGTATTCAGAGAGGGCAATATCTTCTGAGTTGAAATTCTGACTTGTGCTTTCCCCTCCAATAAATACATCAAAAAAAGTAGGGGTTTTTGTAAAAAAAAAAAAAATAAGACTCGGAGAGAACATCAACATTTTGCTCCTAGCATTTAAAAGCTTTCCAGTTGCTCATGCAACCATAGGAGAAATTTTGGTATGTGAAGAGAATTTTTCTAGCTCCAAAAAGTTATCAAAAGCTCCTGCTGCATCCAGAGACTCTTGACTTGTGATAAATGCTAAGCACTTTGGAGCGGTCATATCTGAGTCTGCAACACATGAATTGGGGGCGTATAGGGTGGTGGTGCAGGCGATGGCTTTATTCCTCTGACTCTCATGTAGGACAGGAACTGCTCTGGGATCTCAGCTAAAACATCTTTAGCAAGCCTTGCCATGCTTAACACGTGGTTTCCACTTCTGTCGATGTAATCTCGGAATGGCACAAACTACAAAACAAAAGAGACGTTCACACAGGCCGTTATGCAGACATGGAACACATCTTACAGCATAAAAATAAGAAAGTCTTATTAAGGGAGTTAAGAGTACATGAATATGCTACCTTACACATTTAAAATATGCATATACATATTTTGTATTTTATGTTGTGTATTTTATATACACACATTGTATCTCAATTTTTAAAGATCACCTTCTAAGAGAAACAATGTCATGCTTTCACTTGGGTGAAGTTCTTCACATAAGCCATGGCTGGCCCAGATTGCCAATCACACGTCTCATTGATACATTCGGTTTATCTCTCAACCCCTTCTATACAAGAAGGTAATTCTGTCTCAGAAAGCTATTCTTAGCTTACATTTCCTGTACACAGGGCTCTCCTACCTGACTGCCTCTGCTCTGGCAGTTTGAGAGGAGAATTTTTGCCATCTGAAGTGAACAAAACAGAAAGGATGCCTTTATATTCTTGACCATTTTGCATTATACCTAGCAGAACTATGAACCATCTGAACATGTTTTATATGATACTAACAAGTGCATAAAGAATCTAAGGAAAAAGGATTGGATTCAAAAAAGAACCTGTTACGTGATACCCAGATGTGCAACACCTAAAAAGTTAGCCAGCCAGCTCTGGCTTGGATTTCATATTAAAGAGGTGCTTGTGCTACTGGTATAGAAAAAAGAAACATTCTGGGCTCTTTTTTATTCAGGAGAGACAGCATGCAGAGATGCAGTGGGTTAAGCTAGCTAATAGGTTATGCCAAAGGGAAGCTGATTTGATATTCTGCTTCTTGCTCAGATATTGGAGCCTATCTCAGGGCAACAGCTGGGTGACTTGTCAAAACGGGGATTCAATGTCCAAAGCTATTTCTGGTACTGATATGCAAGGCTATGCTATGCTGGAATTCAAAGCCTAATGTTGCCTTCTCACCCACGTCCCCCGCCCCCCCCCGCCCCCCCCAAACAGGGAAGATTTAATTGTTAACTACTATACTCCAGGATAAAACCAGAAGTGATTGAGAAGTCAGACCCACAGATCTCTCATCTCCTGGCTGAACTCTACAATCTGATGGCTCTTTTCCCCATTATACCCATCAGACATTTTGCCTTCTTGGATGCACAGCAACCAAGGCTACAGATTAAATTCCATTTCTCTAAAAAGCACTAAGTTTTGAAGATTTAGGGGAACACTGAATTACAGTGAGAGTTTAGCCTACTAAGATTCTGAGAGCTTTCCAGAAAAGACAGAAATAAACAAAAGAAATCTACTAAAAATATTAAAAAAATTAAAAAACTCTTGGGAAAAAACCAAACCAAACCAAACCACCAAAATCAAAGACAACATTTCAGCAATAAAGAACTTGAACTTAATTAAATCATTTTTACAACACCTCTGGAAAGCACTTCTCACCCTGGACTTATGAAACCTATCTAGGCATCAATCTCCTACTAAAAGGTGTTTAGAATTCAAGTAGGAGATGATTCTTGGCATAACTCTCCTAAAAAGGATCTCAAATTGCCAGGAAAAAAGGCTTCAAGCCTAGGTATTTGAAGTATGTTGAATTAAACTGAAACCTGTCACCAAATTAAGGGCAAAGAGCTACTGATTACGACATTTCCCCAGGAAGCAGTAGATCTGCAGTTCCTTAGAAGATGAGGACTTGGTCCCAGAATTGCTGAAGCTAGAATTGACCTCTAGAGATCCTTTGGTCCAACCTCACTGCTCAAGCAGAGCCAGCTAGCACAGGCTGCCATCGTCAACAAGCCTACAAGAGTAGTCAGCAGACTATTCAATGAGAGTAGCCTTTACTCCAGGTAGGAGAATCCTTTACTTCTTTATTGGGTTGTGTCCAAGAATGTATCGGGCATAAGGGCAGGAGAACAGTGAGCAAAAGGGAACCTGATTTTGGGGTATTAGGCCAGGAAGCAAGGTACCTGCAGTTCCATAATTAGTGCTCTTTACTATTTCTGCGTTTATCCAGTAACCCTTCGATACAAGAGACAAGCACATACTGTGACATTTACCAGTACTGACTCCTCCATTTCATAAAAAAAAAGCTCTAGTGGTTTTCAGAAGCCAGCTCAGCACTGCTCTGTTTCAAGTGGTTGTTCCTTCTGGAACTCCATCAATTTTCCATAAGAATAGATATGACTGTCTCCAGAAGCATGAAGTTAGAAGAATAACAAAACAAATCAAGCATCTCTGTAGCCTGCTGGTTTACAAGTTCAGCTGGGAAGGGATAAGCTTGGTGTTCATCACCCCTTCATGTGGTTGTCCATTTTCTAATGCAATGTCAGTCTTATGTAAAAAGCACACACAGTCGGAGTTAAAGAACAAAATGTGTCCTATCCCAAGAGATCACCTTACCCATTAGTCTGCAGACATGGAAACTCAGACCACTGCTCTGCAGCAAGGGGGGGCTATTTCAACAGTGCAGTTGTTGAAATGCAATCATACAATATCATACAGATGGCCTGAATTAGTTCTCCCTCCCCTCTTCTTATGGTATATAGATGTCAGAGGAGCTGGAGGAACTACGGACAGATGAGTGTACGTACGGATACATACGGACAGCTGGCAATGACAGCAAGGCCTAGAGCTAACGTGTAGAAGAAGTAGAAGTGGCAAAGGAATAGAAGGAAAGACATAAGAGAAACCAAAGGGAAAGCGATGGAATGTAAACTGCTTTTTCTATTGTTTGAGAATTTAATTTAAAATTTTCAAGAGAAGCAATAGGTACATTATGAGTAAGTATTGTCCTAAAACTTCTTAAATAGAAAAAGGATAATAAAGGAGCAGAAATGAAATAAACTGAGGAAGAATTGGCACAGATGTAATACAGAGTCCCTACAAGACATACGTATACTAGCAAGGACGGAATAACAAAGGTCATACCTTTACATGAATTGCAGTAAATACAATAGGTACAGTGACTTATTTTTAGCAGGCAGATTTTTCCTTTACTAATTTAATTAAAATATTTCACAGTACTGACTGTTAAAATTAACAGTTAATTTCACTAGCTAATTTTAACACACCTAATACACAAAAAAGATAAACTTTTAATATTTGAGTAGATAATTTTGTAAGAGCAAATCAGTTTTATCCTGCCAGATATAAAATAAAGGTCATACCAAACCTAAAAAGGGATAATGTCAACCCCTTTATTTATTTAGCTAGCCTATAATCTATTTGTTAGTGTTTAGACAGAAAAAGAGCACAAAATAATACTGCCTTCAGGTAATTCAATATGGCTTGGGGCAAAGTTCTGACTGAAATATGTTAATAGTAAATAAATGTTTTATTACATTTCTGATATGCAATGAATTCTAAAGAAATACGAAAGGGTATTCATTGCATATTATTTTTTATTCCTCAGCAGAAATTAGAGTATTTCTAATGCAAAGCATTTTCACAAATCTTGTTTATAACATTTGAAGAACTCTATCCACTTATGCTCTTTGAACGTAAAAACAGCAGCTTTTGGAGCTGCTGGTGCTTGTAGAAATTATGTATAATCACGCTGTGTATACTTAAATGCATTTAAAGATAAGTGCAATGCATGCCAGAGATATCTGAATTAGCTTTAAGAAATGTGACATGGCACACAGCTTTGCAGAAATACTAGTTTGGGGTCCAGAAACACTTCCAGCTCTGGAGGGAGATCTCCACATATTGCTCAGTTGAACGGCACTGACATGTAGAGCATAACAGATTACAGGTAGCCCAGTACGGACTACCAAGGAACATTATAAAGGCTTTGACAAAATGAGAAACATTATTTCTTGCCACCTGTTCAGCTGTCCAGCTTCTCCTCATCCCTACTCTTACAATTACCTCTTTGACATCACTGACTACAGCAGCCAGGATGTCTTCCTCTTTTGAGAGTTCTGCCATGTCACTCTCCCATCACTCATTTTCTCAGAATGTTGCAGAAATGAAAAAATTTTCTTTTTCAACTATTAGAAAAAGTAATTCAGGAATCTATGACTTTCACTTATGTATACCCATACAGATTATGAGGGTGATTTTACTGCTATCACCTTATTCTCAATTCTGATCCCCATTTAGGAAAAAAACAGAGAGGGAATTTTAATATAGTATTATTGCACTGAGAAGCTTTAAGAGTGGAAAAAAAGATCTGATCATTTTAACTTGCATGTATTTATGTAGACTTGTTTATTTTGTATTCTAAACATGAAGAACTATAAAATCAGGTGTTAATATACATGTTTTGAACACTTCCTTGGATTGAGATATTGTATCCACTAGCAGTTATCAAATGCTTAAATGTTCACATACCAGTAGTTGTAACATTAGACATTTTGAAAAGTTTCAGTTCCTGCATATATAAATGAAAACAAACATAAATATTCCAAAGTTCATCAGCTGCAGTCTGACCTTAATTATGATTAAAACATTACCACCTGTAATATGAGTTATTCATACAGCTCAGTTATTCTCTCTGTCTTTATGTATATATTCTACTAACCAACAATAATATAAAAATTCAACCTGGCTTGGAGAGAAATAAGTGAAAATAAGCAAGAGCAAAAATAAGTGAAGACTATGAATTTTGATAAATAGGAGGAATAAAAGAAGAAGAAATGGCGGATGTAAGGTAAGGTTTGAACCTAAGGATGCCTGTCAGTGTTTAAGAGGCATTTGGACAATGCCCTTAATAACATGCTTTAACTTTTGGCCAGCCCTGAAGTGGTCAGGCGGTTGGACTAGATGTCCGTTGTAGGTCCCTTCCAACTGAAATATTCTATTTCATAAATGTATTCAAACACTTCCAGGAAAATATGCCTTCCATATTAGATTTAGTTTTAGACAGATATCATTCTTTCTACAGTCATTAGGTTGATCCAATTTTTCAGCAGTTTGCTTCTTTTCAAATGTCAACTTCTTTAATACTTTACTTTAGCAAGCAGGGATTAATGTGTTGAGCTATCAAATGTCTTTCTCTTTGTTTGGTTCCACTTTAGTATCCCATGAAAACAAAAAATGCAAAGCTAGTTAATTTTATTTGATCAAGAGAATAATTATGAAATGAAGTCTGTCTGGAGGGTAGGTAATCAGGAGGCAAGACAGGGTGCCTGGAGCATGGATAAAGTACATAGTTTGGACAACCTGCGGAGTTCTAGAAATCTGCAGCTCTGAGGGGAAGGGGGATTGTGGTGGGTGTTTATGTGCAAGCAAAACTGCTATACCACCCTGCCAGTGGTTGCATAGGTTTGAATGACAACTACTGGGCTGACTGAACGACTGTAGAGAGCAGGATCAGAACCAGCGGGCTTTGGCAGAGAAATGGAGGCGTTTGTGGAATGCGGATGAGAGTAGCACTCTCAGGGCTTGGTTCAGTCGTGTAAACACAGATCACAGAATCATAGAATGGTTTGGGTTGGAAGGGACCTGCAGTGAGCAGGGACATCTTCAACTAGATCAGGTTTCTCAGAGCCCTGAGATGTCCGTTGTAGGTCCCTTCCAACTGAAATATTCTATTTCATAAATGTATTCAAACACTTCCAGGAAAATATGCCTTCCATATTAGATTTAGTTTTAGACAGATATCATTCTTTCTACAGTCATTAGGTTGATCCAATTTTTCAGCAGTTTGCTTCTTTTCAAATGTCAACTTCTTTAATACTTTACTTTAGCAAGCAGGGATTAATGTGTTGAGCTATCAAACGTCTTTCTCTTTGTTTGGTTCCACTTTAGTATCCCATGAAAACAAAAAATGCAAAGCTAGTTAATTTTATTTGATCAAGAGAATAATTATGAAATGAAGTCTGTCTGGAGGGTAGGTAATCAGGAGGCAAGACAGGGTGCCTGGAGCATGGATAAAGTACATAGTTTGGACAACCTGCGGAGTTCTAGAAATCTGCAGCTCTGAGGGGAAGGGGGATTGTGGTGGGTGTTTATGTGCAAGCAAAACTGCTATACCACCCTGCCAGTGGTTGCATAGGTTTGAATGACAACTACTGGGCTGACTGAACGACTGTAGAGAGCAGGATCAGAACCAGCGGGCTTTGGCAGAGAAATGGAGGCGTTTGTGGAATGCGGATGAGAGTAGCACTCTCAGGGCTTGGTTCAGTCGTGTAAACACAGATCACAGAATCATAGAATGGTTTGGGTTGGAAGGGACCTGCAGTGAGCAGGGACATCTTCAACTAGATCAGGTTTCTCAGAGCCCTGTCCAACCTGACTTTGAATGCTTCCAGGGATGGGACATTAACAACCTCTCTGTGCAACCTGTTCCACCTATCATCTGAGGTTCCTTAGAGCATGAAACATCTGCTGGTCATATGTGGTCATATGTGGCAGACACAATATAGGAACCAGGAGACACTTGTGGTCTTCTGGACAGGCAGTTAGAGGCAAGGAAAGATACCTTAGGTATCCCAAATGCACTTGTTAGAAGCCTAGGTATCGCCAACTTCCACAAAACTTGCAGTTTTTCTTTATGGAATCATAAGTGAGACTGCATTACAGAGGCAACAAACTCTTCTCCCATGGCTGCATAACCCTAAGACTTTGGATCAGTGTGCTGCCAGTTAGGGGTCATTTCCTAATGAACGCAGATCCACTACTATGTGTTATATGGAGGTTTATAGGTATCACAGAGAGTTTCTGAGCTTGTTATGAACACCCCAAGATAAAGTATGTCAGTGCTAAGGTAAAATGAAAGGCAGGAATATACATAGAAACATGAATTCAAACCAAACAGGATCAGTAAATTCTGTTAAAATAAATTTTCTCTCCCACCTGCACAATGTCTCTCTCTGCAAACTTCCCTCTTGAAGAAATCCTCACTACATCACCATCCAGTTCTTCCATAGCTTAAAAACAAACAAACAAACAAAATTAATTAATCTATGATTTCAGCTTCACAACAAAAACAATCTTACTGAGAAAAGCTTTGGTCAATATACACTTCAGGGCAACAAAACCAACAACTGTTATTTAGGTACCTCTTTAAGATCATTTGTGCCATAAAATACATCACGTGTTGTAGTTATTTTGCACTTTTTCACACTGACAATACATACTTCTTGTCTTCATTGGCATCTTCAGAAAAAAAACCAGATCATGATAAGGTCCTTATCCTTCCAGCTCTCAAACCAGCAAGTATATCTGTTTTTGTAAGGCTACATTTATTCTTTCATAGGTGGAGAAGAATTCATCTTCAGCAATTATTCTTACAGAAGATATCGTAAGACACAGCACAAAAAGGTAATAACTCACATACATAATGACTGTTATTGCATAGGAATTAAGAGTAAAAAAAAATAATATTAAATTTATTGGGTAACTCTTCTTGTATCTTTTTACGCAGAATCCAGGAAAACTCTAAAATTGTCCAGATACCCAGAAACCATTCCAGGTAGAAAGGCATACCTTCTCTCTGGTCAGTGTTGAAATGGGTGGACTTGGGATCACAGATTATTGCTCAGCCGTTGGATCTGCAATCCTACAATCCTTGCAGCATACACTATGAAAATCAAAGCCCTGCATCACTGAGCTTCTCAGGGGTTTGCAAACTGGGCTGAGTTGACTGAACCCAGCATTTCAAAACCTAGTTCTTCCAATGCAAGAACTAGAAAGCACAAATGACTCTATCAGAGCCTAGTCCAAGCCAAACAAAAGAGCATGTTTGTTCGAAGAAAAAATTAGTAGGTCTGTAGAGCATGCTGCTAGATGACGTTGTTGGTGCAAAAAAATGTATGTGTTCAAACCAGGAGACTGAACAAGTATTTGAAGGAGAGATCCACTGAAAATTTCCAAAATAGACATAAAGCACAGACCGCTCAGGAAATTATAATCGAAAATAGTATTCAGGGAAGTATCATATTCGCTTGTTCTGTTCTTAGCATTCTCTAGATAACCACCCATGGCCATGTCAGATGCAGAATACTGGGCAAAATGGACCCTATCTGTTATAGTCATCCTCACATCGTTAAGTAAAGCTCTGCCAAATGTATATACCATCTGTCTGAGCTCCAGACTTTTAAGAACCCTTCTGATAGTCCCCAGGGGCTGGGAGATTTAGGGGAAGTGATAAGTGAAGAGGAACAGCTTAGTCTCTCTACAGCAGAACTGAGGCTTGACTGGCATTTGAATTGTAAGACAGCGTGCCTGGAACATACACCCTCCTACACACACACTTCTTCGGCGTCCACAACAGGCATGGAGACCGTTGTTTTTTTGAGAAGAAATTTCTGCAGATGGAAAAGTAATTTCTCTGCCTCTTGGGCAGTGAGAGACTACAGATTTGGCACACATCTAAGAGGTGAGTTTCACTGAGGCAGCATACTCAAGGAGCGTGGGTTCAAGATGAAAACTGTATCCTACAGCACAAACAGAATTCTGCCTTAAGAAAAGCAGAAGTAAAAAGAAGACAGGATCTACATATCCTGACTGTGTTAAGGGGAGCCTGGGCAAACTCAAGGACTGGACAAACAGGGAGAAAGGGAATAGGCAAAGGAAGGCTGAGAGAAAAGTAAGTAACATATGACTAATATTGGAATTCTCAGGGGTAAAAATGAAGTTTGCAAATTTCCCTCATATGCATTTATGAAGACAAACTGTCTTTTCTCATTGCTTGAGGCATACAACCATCTGAAGTGTAAGCGTCCACCTGGACAATGTCTTCAAGGAATATGATACTTAAAATTATCATGAATATACCATTTGCCAAAAAGCGTAAGAAAGTCAACACCCAGTAACACTTTTTTTGTTTATTTTTTCCTTGTTTTCGTACTCTTAGAATATTTGTACAAGAATTAACAATGTACAGTCATTAGCGACTATTTACATTATACATCTGTGGTAGTACTAAGTATACTTCATGTACAAAGAAGGCATACTGTCTAACCAGAAGCACTAGAATTAGAAAAAAAGGATATAGGACTTAATCTGAGGAATAGATAGATATACAAGGAATGTCTACACTTCATAGGGCAGTGATATACACGGAGACACTTAATAAATTAGTCCAAATAACAGAAGCAGCTTAGTTATTGCAGTACAGAATGGTGTTCCAGAACAACACATGAAGTAATATGTAAATAATCCTGGTAATTTCTCCCCTGTTGTAATATTCTCTCAATGCTGCTAACACAGTAAGGCTCACTCCTGTTATTTAGTGAAACCCAGTTTAACCCAGATCACCTCCGCAAATGTATTTATTTTTCTCAGTGTTTTATTACTAGAATAGGAACAGATGATCAATATTTCCAGTCAACTGACACTTCACAAGGCAACTAAATATCTGTATGGAAGAAATTCAACATTACTTGAGTATACTTACTTTACTGTGGGTTTTTTTTCCCACTCATCTTCTGGAGCTCGCTAAATGCCGAGTCCCCATATGGTTCTGTGACTTGAACAGAGAGCCCGAGGGGCTACACAGCTCCACATGGTAGCTTGTAATCATACTGAGTTATCAATCAATCCAGCTGGAAATGTCAACAGTGCTTATTGCTTGCTCCATATTATGCTCTTTTAAAGAACAGTATTTGTTTGAAAAGCCACGTATTACTAAAATGTAAACGAATATAAAAAATTCTAGGAAAATCACTAGAACACTTACCGTCAAACTCTGCTGGTCCTACCCCCACTATAATTATCGACATTGGAAGCTTTGAAGCCTTCAAAAGAAGAAGAAAAAGAGGTGTGATGCATTACATAATCTCTGCCAATAATATGTGAGGTCTGAGGACAATCTGAATAAAAACCACGCAGAAGGTACGTTCTAAAGAACAATTTTTTTTTTCCACCTAAAAAGTTGAGTGGTGTAAACTGTCTGTTTAAGTGGTACAAAACGTCTTGGATGAAGATAGAAAGGCAGATGATTATTTTAATTTACTTTTTCCTTATAAAGTCTTTGAATCATAAAATGTCATAATTAAACACAACAATGTTATGATTTAATACTAATATGACAACCAAGACGACAAATTTATCTTAGGAACTTCTGTAAGCTGACAATAATTGCAAATATGCACCTAATGACAGTTTAACATTTATTTAAATGCACTTCACTGTTTCTTGATATTACATAGCTGCTTAGAACTGTGTGACACTATTTTTTACATAGTTCTTAGGCCAATTTTTCTCAAGAGAATAAATCACCTATTTGAGCAATATGTATCTTATATTTCTTCCATGAATGAAATTTTATTCAAGTCAGTCATCCATGCCACAAAGTAAACAAGATATTGAACTGGCTTACGGTAAGATTTTTCATTCTATTTAATCTTTTTCATTCAATGAAACAGGCAAAGATGATATCTGGCTTTCCCTGAACAAACTCCCTGTAAAACCTTTAAAATTATGAACACGGTACCATAAATATTGGATTCTCCTGCCCTGATAGTAGCATCAGATATCTGCTAGTTTACAGAAATAATCTGAAACTGCCTCTGCTGAGGAAGGTAACAACTTAAAAAAACCCCATCTACCGAATGTCAGGGTTGACAACTGTTCTTTATTGAGATATTCTGATGAACTGTGAAATGTCTACAGTCATTTTAAACAGGAGTATGTACTCGCCAAAAATCTTAGATGTACACTTTCTGCTAAATTAAACTCTGCTTCACTGAAGTCTGAAGTCAAGTGGTTTTAGAACATACTGTTGTATTTTTCTTTTGGAACACAAAAAGTGTTTTTCTCCCTCATTTAAAAGATATTCTCATTTTAGATACATCATCACCATTTCCCATTCTTCATCTGTCATAATACTACATATAAACCCAACTTTCTTTAAGCAGAAGATTTGCAGTTAATTCCTATAAACATGCTGTTTAAAACAATGAAAATACGGCATTCTAGAAATCACTATTTAATGTTCTACACCACTATACATCATACACTATATACTATAAATTATACATTGATTGCAAATTCATCACAAAGTGTTACTACTTAGTCTTCCAGCTAAAATACTGTAGCAGTGTAAAAAAAAAAAATTAATAATCTCTTGTTAGTTAAATACGAATATGCTAGCGAAGATAATGGTAAAAGCCGTCTGGCCATGGTCCTAGGCAAAGAGCTCTACGTGGCCCAGCTCGAGCAGGGGGGTTGGACCAGATGACACCCAGAAGTCCTTTCCAATATCAACCAGTCTGTGATTAAGGGCCATAAATACAGTGTAACTGTAACTGAAACTGAATTACAGTGCATTGCATAAATCAGTGAGTACAGAGGATTTTCGAGACACGAAGGCATTTCTTAGAACAGAACACCTGTTTTTCAGGTGTATTCTATGATCTTATTGCTCTATTGTAAAGAAAACGTCCTTTAAAGAGATTCCTACTCATGCGGACACAGTATTATGTGATACAATGTATATGAAACAGTAAGTGGCGAGGACAGCATAAAGACAAAGAGTTAAACTTTTGCACATAAACTTAAGTGTTGGCATTTCCTGATGACAGCACAACCTTTAAACAGTTTGGTAAAACAGAATGTGTCTGACACATATGCTGTAATGAGAAAGATGCCTAAAAACACAATTAGTGTTTAAAAATGAAAAATACTCTTCCTGGGTTTTACACATATCAAGTTTCATTGAACATCACTGCCCTTTTATTATTTTGGATTTCATTAAGAGTGAAAAAGCTGCTATTGAATAGCATTTAATTAGTTCTGTCATGGGATACAGTCCTCACACTCTAAGCAGTATACAGAAAAATGAATGCATCTTCATAAAAAGAAAAGGCAGCAAATATCCCCCAAAATTCCACTCTTTCTAAGCTAACAACACATCTGCTGTATTTCAAGACAGTTGCAGACTAACAGCCATTATTCCTGGAAATGAACTATTACCAGAAACAAGGTTTTTCTGTACGTCTTAGTGGCAAATTACTTAATCTACAAGATACCAGCCAACTGGATTTGCTGGTCTCTTACGCACTGATTTCAAACCAAAGGGTGAGTTAAATCAAAAGCTGCTCTTTTTGTTTTCCACAGAGCCTTTCTGTCACCTAAAGCAAGTTCATCTAAAAGAAGCTATGTTCCAAACTTCTAGGCTAGACCCGAGGATGAACTTCCAAGCTAAAAGCCTATGTCATTTAAAAGTGAGAATCAGTTTATCTGATTTTAATACTGGAAACTGGAAGAGGAGAAGAAGTAAACTGGTACCTTCAAAGCCTGGGGTGTAAAAGCTTTCCAGGTGGGCTGTCAGAGTCCTTATCAACACACAGACTCTGTCTACATGCTGCTGGCTAGAACTTGAGGGCATCGTGCTCGCCAGTGAAAGACAGAACATTTCAGCAGTATTTTCATGTGCACCCTATAAACTGGAACAGCACCGGATGTCTACAGGAGGCAGTGAAAGTGGGCCTTCAAAAATATGCCTCCTAATTCTACACCACTCATTTTGACATGATGCTTAATTATTTTAATGTAGGGTTTTCACCCACCACTTCACTATTAACTAGATCCACTGTGATGTATTCAAAAATATTGGTACGGATCTTTTCAAACCCTGTCTGGAAGTTGTTCCTGTGTGTACTTTCATCTGACATTTCCCAGGGCATGGGCAAAGTGGAACCTGTTCATAATACAGAATATTACTTATATGCATAGCAGTTGCGGGAAAAAAAACAATACAGAAACTGAGAAACAATTAGAATTTTCAAAATTCTAGGGGACTATTTAGAAGGAAATCAGATGACTGGTATGCTTGCCATTTGCGATCAGAAAGTTTGGGGCAGTTTTTAAAAAGGGGGTGGAATCAAAGCTGTCTGCAATTGCAAGAAAGATAAAGAACAGTTCAGTGTGACAAACTGCATGGTGGGATGTGCATGAGGAAGGAGGAGGCAAGAAGCAGATGAGGAAAATCATATGAACATACAGTGTTAGAGCGAAGAGTATAATTTCCCATAGAACACCATCTAATTAAGCTGAGATTCAACTTTTGCTTTCTTTTTGTTCTTATGCGTAAATTCTGCTGTTTGCAAAAAACGGTTAATTTATGGAACAAATTCTGTGCCTGAAATATTAACTGATTTAGTTTATTGCATAAAATATTAACTCCTAGAAACATAATTCTTTTACATTTCAACACTTTCAGCAAAACTTACATTCACTATGGATTCTTTTGTCTGAGCCATATCGGAAATAACTCCATCTGTAATAATGAGAAGAACAAAATACTGGGACCCATCTTTTACTGATGCAGCATATCTAAGGGAAGAAAAAAACAGCATTAGAATAGCAAAAAAACCCTTTATACAAGGAACTAATATGAAAAGGAGCTGTATTTTTAAAATTTCACTACTAAGGACTGATAAAGAAACATGATGCAGTGGATTTCAAAAGTAAAGACATTCACAATTAAGATGGATATTCTACTTTTAAATGAGAACATTAGAAAAACTTAACTAATACAATACTGATATTGATAATCTGCATGTGTTGAAACGGTGAAAAATGGGAACTGTATCACTACCAAGAGGATCATGGACAGATTGCCCTTTATAGAACCATAAGTCGTTAGAAAGTCTAAGTTATTTAATAGTCATTACCTCTGAGCAACACAGTTTGGTATGAAGGGCACGTGATAATATTGAATGGTTGGGTTTATAGTACAAATAAACTTTATCAGGAATCAGCACACTGCGTAAATATTTCATTACTTTTTTTTTGTCTTACAAAAGCAGGTTACTTACTGTTGACCATGCTTGCAGATTTATAGTTTATAGCGCACATTTGTAAAATGACTGAACATGCATCCTGCAACCCTGGCTTAGATCTTTACCTCTTTCCACCATCCACAGATGTCCTTTCAAGACTCAGGCTTCTCCCTGTGCTGCACATGAATACAAGACAAAACACATCCAGTGCCATTCCAGTCCCACCTCAGCCAAAGGACCTAAGAAGCGACTGCTCTTTGAAAATGAGCAGCTTTTGAAGATTTGGAAAGTCCTGAAAGACAGTGGGTCCATAGCAGCCCCCCTGAACTCTATGGCCTGCATACCAGAAACTAAGACTTTGGTTCATTTATCTTCAACTCCCAAGAGTCAAAGTGTCCCATATAGTTAGTGAGGAAGTTTTAGTGTGTGGAGTAGGCTGCTCCACTTGCTGCTTCACTTGGCAGCAGCCAGTATAGTTCCTATTTTCATGAAGGCTCTTGGTGCTGGGAAGGAGTCAAATAGTAGAACCTTGTAATAAAAGTAGCAATGAGGAGTATGGAGAGCAGTACAAAAAAGAAACATCAGTCTCCATATGAACACTGTGGGATATATGCCCAAGTACAGAATATAACTGTCAAAGAACTCACTATCTTACTGGTCACCGAACATCAAAGGCCTGGGTCATTGAACAGGATATGTTCTAATGATGCTCATGATGACTGCATGTGCTTAGAAAATTCTAACTCTGATGTTACACAGTGCGTTTGCAAGCAACTACTGCCAATAAATAAGATGCTGTAACCATAACATTTACAAGAGTTTGGAGGAATGTATGTGAAATGGAATCTACAACCCACAGAAAGCCATCACATTCCTCCCTCCCAAGATACAGATGGGTAGAAAAGCCACGCAGGCAATGAACCTGTTGAACATCATCTATTTGCATGCTGGCAGTAGGGACTGATAGGTAAATATCTAGATTAGCAAGACCTACTGCGGAATACATTTTCACTGCCATGCGGAGAGTTCTTCTATCTCATTTTTCCACAATGCTTGTAATCTTTTCAATGATGACTGTAGTGACAAGGGATGATGAGAGAGTAAAATAAAAATTCATTATCCTTTCTGAGTGCTTGTACTGTCTACATACCCACACTGAAGAAATGGAACAAAAAATTGGTTGTTTCAAATTTTCCACAGAATAAAACATTCTGAAGTCTTTTGCAAGAAATATCTTATATAATGGAAGGGAGATGACAGAAGATACTAGGTTGAATTTGGTGCAGTTTAGATAACTCCCTAGCTGGGGGAAGGATAATAAACTCATTATCTTCTTAAAGAGCTTCCGAAGAGTTCCAAGATCACAACAGGACTGTAATATCTGACATTGTTTCCAGAGATTTCATCAGAGACATATTTTTAAGTAGGAGGGATGCAGGAAGAAGAAATTTCTTTGAGACTGAAGGTAGGTTCAAATAGTAACTGCAGGCTAGATCATAAATTCTAGTACCATGCCTATGAGTGTCAATCAAATAGCCAAGAAACCGAACCTAGAAGGAAAATGATGTTACTGAGAACTGCACTGGTACATGGCTTGTATTAAGGATGATCATGCAGTAGGAATCCTCATGAAGATATTTAGCTTTTCCACTATAATGTAGTGTGATTTGCTACAAGAAGGAGTTCCCAAAGTTTGCAACAACTTGACCAAAGTTCAGTGGAAGAACTACAAATGCTGGTGACAGGCTTCTGCAATTCTGCAAAAGTTGACAAGTATTCCTGAGAAACAATTAGTGACAAAAGGAACTCAATTTATATTGATGCTTTGATCATACTAGATCAGGAATTTAAATTTTTGCAATGAACAGGAGGCTTGAGGTTAACTGCCAAATTCTGAACCAGCCAGCTCAGCTGATACAACCAGTTCTAAAGAAAAGCAAGCCAGAAAAGTCAATGGGTTAGACTTCCAGTTAACATGACTAATGCAGACACTGAATGCCACATATATGGAATTCAGCTGTCATAAAGATTGTCATATTTCCTCACAGTCTGAAAACTGCTAATGGAGAGATCCTGTCAAAGGGAAGATTGAAAGGAGGCAGCTAGTTGCTAAAGCCAAGCAATGCAATATACATGTACATAATTTGAATGGTATGATTCAAAGATGGAACAACTAATCCTAATGGTAAATAGCTGAAATCAGCTATCTCGCCATGCTGGGTGCACAGAAAATGTTTTGCGCCATAGAATTTGCAAATTATTTTTCATTGGGCTGTGAAACTAACAACAGCAAGAACAGGGAGCAAATAAATATTTCTTGCTACAACAGTTAACTATTTTTCAAGCTCATAAATAAAACATTAACAGTACAATAATTTATACATCCTTACTGCTTTATTTTATAAACATTAGTTCTTTCTCTGTATCTATAAATAAAATAAAATCTGTTCAGGTAGTTACACAGCTAAGTTACCTGAGCCATATAATTTTTCCTACCCCAACACATGGAGGTATACTGTCAGTCAAGATCTTGTCTGCCAAAATAAGGCAGTATTATCCTTCTTAAGAAACTTCTACACTTTGAGAACTTTGAGAAGTTGGATGAGGTGTTGCATAACACAGTACCATGGCTCCCCAGGGGTGGCTGCTGTACTACTGCCTTAACAGTACCACTACCAGCTGGGAATTGCTGCCACAGAGTGTCCTGGAAAATTTTGTTGACGTTTTGGACATTTTGAGATTACAGGAACTACACAGGCCTAAAAAAAAGCATTTTATAAATTTTTAAAATAGATTTATGTCTTTTAATTCTGTGCTCCAAAGGACAAGAAGGAAACATGGCAGAGTGATCTCACAAAAATTTTCTTTCATTATGATTTCTCCTAAGATTTTAACACAGGGTGGATCAACTGGATCACTTGTATTTATTTTTAATCAGCCATGAAATTCTGCATGATACTAGCACATGTTCTTCAAACCTACTCAAAGGTACAAGTTAATCACGTTAGATTGAATAAACAAAACAACTGTAAACACCTTTTTCAATATTTAGCATCACGTAACTGTTAGCCTTTTATATGTGATAGTTGTACCGACAATAAGAAGTTTCTGCAAAATACCTGTTGTGATGCTTACCTGGCTACATGATTAATTACAGGGGCAAAGTTTGTTGGTCCATAAAGCTGTACAGATTTTAGACTCCTGTAATACGCCTCCATTACACCATCAATTCCATGGCAGTATGGATTTTGAGGGTTTCCATTCTAATGAAAAAAAGAGATGATTAATCACTAAAAATAATTATGAAGCAAAACTGATGTAGGTTACTGAACACTACCCAGTGTACGTTTTTAAATGGCAAAGACCTAAGCATTCTAGGATCTATTCAGAGATTTACACCTATTTACTACAAATGCCTAATGTAAGTGCCATGGCTGGTTGTGAGTGTTAACTGCCTAGGGAAGGAGGTCCTAGCAGCCTCATGTTATATGCAGTCTGAATCACTGGAACTGGTTTCTAGACATAAATACCATCTTAAGTGGAATTAAGCAGTCTTTCTTACATGCAACAATAACAGGCATTTCCCTGCATGGATATTAGGTATGAATTACAGGGCAGATCTAAAACTGGAATTAGGTTTAGGAGCACAATTCTGGCTCAATGATTTCTTATTTTAAAAATAGGAAAAAAAGGAAGGAAAAAAAGGAGTGAAAAAAAGGAATGGTAGCCAGATCCTGATGTTCATACACTATGTGAATGTAAGGTAAACTATAAACTATTAATTGTTTTGGTACAATGTTTTGGCATTGGAAAACTGATTTTCAACCTGGTATAAACAGATGAATAAAGGAACTTATTCTTTGGGAATGCACTGAAATGCATGGGACTGTAAATTCTTTGGGCAGGCATTTTACTACCTATCTCCAATGACTCTATAATGAGGATAGCTATTTACAGATGACAATACAAACATATAAGCTAAATCCTAGATTAATGGCCCATGCCAAGGCCAGACAAATGATCCGTGTAGGGCATCAAAACCTTCCAAATCACCTTACTCTCCTTCACGTGCCAACATCTCATTAGCTTTACTGTACCAGTATCTCATTCTGAGGTAGAATATACCTCCCTGAGAATCTAGGAAAGCAAAGAGGATTTTTCATCTAGAATGTTAAAAGAGCTGCTTAGCATTAAATGGGAGACACCTATATATGTTTATATATGGAGGAAGGAAAAAAAGACTGTATTTTCCTCTGTAAAAACACCACAATGCCTCACAAATTAACTGAAACAACTTTTAAAACTGAAAGTAGCCAGGAATAAGTCTACAGTTTTAATACCTTTAAGATCATATGTATCAATATATTTGAACTCACTACATGAAGGTCCAAAGAAAGTCTGTGATTCAAATGAGTGTCTGCAATTGCACCTGTTTTAAATTACTATCCACATAGAAAACCTTTCCCTGAGATAAGACATGTGACATTGTTTTCTAGCACAGGCTGACAGAAGAAATACACATCTACAATCACTGGTCTTTGCTGCTATCTAATTAAAACTCACCTGATATACCTATACTTGCTGTAATTCTGACAACTTTATCCTACTCAGAGAGGAACAAAAACCTCAAAATACACAAGTAGATAAACTTCCACACTAATCACAAGCACCAGTTACAACACATCAACCTTTCTGGCAAATCCTGTTAGATTTTAAGTTTGTAATTTAACTGGCACATGGACCAGTCTCAGATTTGTCCTTGTCACCTCAGCTTATAGTCCACTTAGTTATCTCTATGTCTCTTAACTAGCAGCCTGTAAAAGATAAAAGAGATCCCAGAAAATGAGAGAGAACAATAATAACGAAAGATTGTCTTGGAACATGATTCACTTGTTTCTTAAGATAGATTAGCTTCAATTTGAAGTCTTCCAAGCATCTGTTTCTCATGCTGCTACAGCTGAGGTTAAAGATGATTACTTTTCTTTATAACTATTTTTGGCCTATAGGGACTTCTTGACTCTGGATTTCTCTCAGTAGCTTCACTATGATGAAAAATTTTGAAACAGTCTTTTAGACAGAATTAGCACATTCTCTGTTTTTTACTAGTCCAGTAATTGCTTAAGACTGCAACCTTAACTCCCCAAATTTTGCTATAGTAAAGAAATCCAAACAATATATAAATACTTATTTACTTACCAGTGCAAATTCATGTGATACTCTTCCATCTGGAGGCAGTCTAGCTCCAAAACCTAGAGCTGGGAACATTTTATCACTATCGTAGTCCTGAATTATTTCACCTACTGCTTTCAGTGCCATGCCATAAGCATTCAGCTGATAGGGATTCATGTAGTGCAGTGAAGTAGGCTGCGAAGGGTTACCTGTCAGACAGCAAGGATCAGATTTACTTTAAAACTGAATCACTCAAAAATTTCTCTCTTAAAAGCGATAGAAATCTAAGAAAGCAGAAATCAAAAAGAAAAAATCATGTAAAGAAAATGTAAAGTTATTTCCTGTATACATAACTGGTTGTATCAGGTAGAAATGCAATGATCTGAATACGTTTTAATAGCTTAACAGTAGTAGCTGTAAACTTTTTGAGCATTGAAAGGGCAGCGAGATACTGTGGTTAGACTTGTAAATTTGTGCCATTTCATAACACAATATAGACTTTTTTCATCTTGGGGTCTTCTCAGTTAGCCAGTTTTCTCCCAGCAATAATAAACAAACAAAAAAAAAATCAGAAAGTACACAAATATTTGCAAACTGCTTCGACTTATTCAATTTTATATGTAGCTTTTTTAATTTTTAACTGTTCTGTTTGCCTGGCTTTTCTGGACAGGAATTGGCCTCTAGCCTGTGGTTCAGCAAAACGGAGTCCTGATTCCAGGTGGTGCCAGGCATACAAATAAACACCAATACAATGAAGTTAAGCAGAATACTGATATAGATACATATGCACACGCATGTGTACACTTAAAGCTGAACGCAGCACATACATACAAAAGATGTTTGCTTTTATTCTTACCATTGGAAGCTGTGAAATCAATAGCTACTGTGAAATTGATTTGGGTTCTGCAGAAAAAGCAAATACAAACCTTATTAAAAGTTTTACTGTTAGGTGGAAAAATAAACAAGAGATTATAAAGTTGTTCGTGGACAAACTGTAGGACACTGACTTTCTAATACAGGAAATAAACACTGAAAATACTCTTTTATAAGGGTCCAGCCAAAAGCTGGAACAGCACTATTTTATTAGCATGCTGAAAGCAGTTATTTTACTCCATCCTTTCTTTTTTCATTGTTTACAAAAATCCTAAAACATTAATGAGGTTATTAACATCCATAAACATTATTAATTCATTTTCAACAGTAATACTGATTTTTCCTCGGACATATTTTAGTCCTAGTCATGGAAGACTTTGAAAAGGGAAGTAGGGTTTTACTAATCTGCTCCTTTTCTTAACACTAGAACTGTGTCTTCAGTCAGAACATATCTGAAATCATGCTATGCATAAAATCTTTGGACAGGATACCATGGGTTTTGGCAGTGGATTTCGTTCATGTGAACATAGTCAATACTTTGAGTGAGCATGCCAAGGTAATTGTTGGAAGACAAAAGTAAAGTCTGGAAGCAGGAATATAAAGATCTGTATTTGGAGCAGTAGCTAAATAAAGCCATTAGCGTGCATGGATCAGTTGTTAGCACAGAATTATTGCCAGAAAAATTAATCATTAATACTCTTACAGAGTGACAATCCAATTAAATACAGTTCTATTCCGCAGTTTCCTTCAGGACAAAATACTGTTCTGGAGATAATCTCTTACCTAGTAAAACTCTATCAGGAAAAAGAGCTTGTATGAATTTGAAAATTGACTTTTTGCTCAGATTGAGTCTTTTACACCTTCCTTCAAATTTCTGCCTCTCAGTGTGTGCAACTATGAACTTAATGACCAAATTGAAAAAGATTAAAGCTCCTTGAAAGTTACTGAACAGATTTAACTCATGGACGTTTAGATTAAACATCAACAATCTGACACCTGGCCTTGCAGTACTGGTTTGACTGCTCAAATAACCTGACACGCCCAGAGAAAATACTATTTATTTCATAAAAAGCTGGGCATGAAAAAAAAAATAAAAATCACATGGAATCCTTTGATCATGCTGATCAAGGCTAACACAAACTAAGCTAGGTTACAGGTGGACTCTGTCTCCAAAAAGTGGTAAAAGCCTACCAATGCCCACAGTATCAAGAGTCCTTGGAACATGGTCAGCCCGGAATATGTTTAAAAACACTGTGGCCTCAATATGGACTTCAACCAAAAAAACAGTGAAAGCTGCTGCAACCTCTGAAAAGTTCAGAGACGTAAGCTTTGTGAGAGAAGTTTTCTGCCAATACTTCTGCATTCTGCAGTTTCACAAAGCATTTTTTTAATGGCATGACAAGTCAGATTTTGTTTGATTTGTACCAAAGTGTCAGGCCCTCAGCTTAATTACAATGTCCTTCTGCATCGCCAGTTGTAAGAATAAAGATCCTAAGAAGTGCATGTCAGCTGTTTTTCTATCAACACCACTATAGTGTGCAGAAAAGTTGTCTTCCTCAGATAAGAACAGGTTAGGAAAAACAACAAGAAAAATATCTAATACAATACCATTTCTAGATTTATGCTTAGAGTCCTTATTGGCACTGCTAAGAAGAAACTGCTTTGGGGCCATAATCTCCCTGTACTTACATCTTACGGGCTTTGGTGTGGTGCAATGTTTGAAGAGTAAAACAAGACTCCTCCAAGCATTACATGACAGGTACCTCAAGTACAGAAATCCTTCAGTGTGAAGAATGTGTCACTGAGAAAAAAAAACTTCCTCTGCATAAGAACATCAAAACTGAGTTGTAAACTCGTTTCCTGGATCAGCTATTCTGATCCAATTGGTGAGAAGAAACAGAGTTTCACGGATTCTAAATTCAAGACAGAAACAAGAGAAGGAAGATTAAAAAGGATTTCAGTTTCCTAAATATAGGTTCCTAATACTATTTTAGAGCCCCCAGGGTACTTACCACACCACAGAAATTCTTGGGAGTCTAAAATGGCATTAAATGCCTATATAGTCCAGGAAACTGGATACCACTCTTAATGCAACTGTCACTTTGTATTATGGACTCATCACCACAGAGAATGTCATTCACATCTTACAGAAAACCAGGAAAGCTAGAACAAACTCTGTCAGGGCAAACCTCTACTGTGATTTCCCTCTGTTTTCAATGACCATTTTGTTTCATATATCATACAACATGTATGGAGAAGAGGAGGCTGAGAGGAGACCTTATCACTCTCTACAACACAGAATCACAGAATTGCAAGGGTTGGAAGGGACCTCGGGAGATCATCTAGTCCAACCGCCCTGCTAAAGCAGGTTCTCCTAGAGCATGTTACACAGGACTTCATCCAGGCGGGCCTTGAATATCTCCAGAGAAGGAGACTCCACAACCTCCCTGGGCAGCCTGTTCCAGTGCTCTGTCACCCTCAGAGTAAAGAAGTTGTCCCTCATATTCAACTGAAACCTCTTATGTTTCAGTTTGTACCCATTGCCCCTTGTCCTGTCGCTGGGCACCACTGCAGAGTCTGGCTCCGTCCTTGTGACACCCACCCTTAAGATATTTGTATGTGTTGATGAGGTCCCCTCTCGATCTTCTCTTCATCAGGCTGAACAAGCCCAACTCTCTCAGCCTTTCCTCATAGGGGAGATGCTCCAGTCCCTTTATCATCCTAGTTGCTCTCCTCTGGACTCTTTCTAGGAGTTCCTCATCTTTCTTGAACCAGGGAACCCAGAACTGCCTGAAAGGAGGGTGTAGGGAGGTGGGTGCTGGTCTCTTCTCCCAGGTAACAGGCAATAGGATGAAGGGAAATGGTCTCAAGTTGCACCAGGGCAGGTTTAGGTTGGACGTTAGGAAAAATTTTTTCACTGAAAGGGTTGTCAAGCATTGGAACAGCTGCCCAGGGAAGTGGTTGAGTCCCCATCCCTGGAGGTATCTAAAAGCCGGATAGACGTGGTGCTTAGGGACATGGTTCAGTGGTGGACTTGGCAGTGTTAGGTTAACAGTTGGACTTGATGATCTTAAAGGTCTTTTCCAACCTAAATGATTCTGTGATTCTATATCAGAAACATCCTCTGAATAAGACCTCACGGAAAAGAGACATAGAAGCCTGAAGTTACACAAGGCACCAGTGTCCTCTGAGGAAAGGAACAATGAACTGCAAAAAGGTACAAAATAAAGGTCAACCCTTGTAGTTAAAATTATCAAAATGTAGTTAAATCTTTTTTGAACACAAAACTGGGGTTTTCATACAAACAATTCAACTTCAAATCTGTACCACTGGAGAATATATTTTCAAAATCAGCTGTAATACTGTGAGCATGTGTCTTTTGTGTGAAAGATTATTAAGAAAAGGTATTAATTTCTTCGCTGTTTCACCAGGACCGAAAAAATTAACCAGCCATAACTAAAAAATTAATCCAGGAAGGCTAATTTAAAAGCTGTGTGTCATGAAAACAACAGATACAACTATTCTGGAAGCCAAGTGGGATGATTGGGAAATTAATCTGGATGACATTTTAAGAAGTGTTTTCATGGTAACACGTTATTCTAGAACCAAATCAAATGTAACGAATATATCTGAAAGTCAACTGTCCTGTTTTTATTTCTACTACATGTTTTATTTCTTTTTAACAGACTAATTTTAACAGTCTAATATTATTAGCATATTAACCTTCAGCAACAATAACTATTTTTTTAGTAAGATTATTGATTACTGTATTTTGTGTAAAGCACAGATAAAAAAAATCATTAATTCAGAATAAGGATGGTCAAAATTCTAAAAAGTGTATAAAATTATAGTCTTTGAGACAAATTTAGGTACCTGATTAAATGATGCAAATTTAAAAACACATCAAGACAACAAAACTGACTGTTTCTGATAAGGAAATTCTTTGGCTAAGGCTGTCCCCCTGCTTTTCCAGCTGTATGGCTTTCCAGGGAGCAATATTAAAAGCACATGACACCTGCTACATCAGTGATGTTGTGAGGTCATGAGGCTTTGCACAGAAGCTGCTAAAACATTGATGCCTGGCTAGGCAGGCTGAGCTGCTGAATGTCCCGTCCCAAGGGAAAACTCAGGTAGACTATCTGAGCCCAGCAATGTGCCTATAGATTCAGAGCTGGATAGATCACTACTACTCTGCCAGAATTTAGGTGGTGTAGAAAGACATGATCTATCTGATACCTGTCAGGTGATTTTACACTATACTACCATGAGGAATGAAGAAAATATCGTAAAAGGAACAGTAATCTTCACCTCACAACCACAGAGCAGCCATTTTGTTTGTTTCTTTGGGGGAGCAAGGTGAAACCTATTGTGTTTTAATAAGAGCTCAGCACTGATACCCATAAGGGAACAAACTGAACCTGGATGTAGCTTTTGACTAGGCTTGATAGCATTTGTAATTATTAGGGTTTTTTAAACAGTACATTGGAAGGAAACATGAATTTCCTCCTGTGGCTTCAGAGTGGCAACCAGCTGGTCTGTTAGCAGGGGGGAGCTGTGGAGGGTTTGAGGACCACTTACTGTGCAGAACCCTACAATGCAGCTAACGGAGTAACTACCAAGAGGCTCTGTCCTCTCCATGGCATTTAATCCCCAATGACAGTTACTTTGTAATTTCCCTTTGCAGATGATTGTTTGGCCAAAAGCCGTATCAAAATAAAGATTTTTCTGATAAAGGCTCTACAAGATCTTTGTCTTACTTAGTCTTATTATTCCTTATTATTCTCCAAGGATACAAGAAATATATGGTAAAGCCTTCAAAACACGTAGCTACGGCAGCCCTTGCTTCATAACTGTGTCTCACACCAGGTCTCCTCTGAACATCATATATGCATGCCATTACATTACATGGTGTACTGATTGGATGAAAATAACTGTCATGAAAGGAGTTCTAAATTTCCATTTTGATCATCAGTGATTCAATACAGTTCAGTTAAAAAATGTATGTCCAAAGCCCTTAGAATCCAAACAATGTGTGGGTGCTCATTTCCAAAAACCTAGATGAAGGTAAGGCTTTTAACATGATGGGAGGAAAAGATGTCCTCTTATGTTCCATAATCTGGGACAGAAGAGATTACTTAATATTTCTGAGTTACAGAAGGATTCAGCTCCTGCATTTTATTGATTTACAAATGCCTAGAGTAACTTGTCAGCTCACTCCATATTCTAACAAGTCAAAGAGGCTGGAAACTTCTGCACAGAAATATCCTTTCTGTCCACTAAGTCTTGCAGCTTTTTGGCTCCTGGTCTCTCTTCCAGAAAGAAAAAAACAGAGCAGACTATAAACTAATTGTTTGACAGTCATTCCCATCACCCAGGATAATTTCAATCGCATTGCTCTTCAAGGTTGTATCCCTTACATTCCTGAGCTTATTCATATATTTGGAGGTGTTTTGATAGGAATATGTTATTAATTGGTAAGTGGAAGGAGAAATCCAATTGTTAAACATACATTAATTTTAGCACAATACCTATTTTAAATGTGGGACGGTCAGTGTGGCAAAATATGTGAATAAGTATCAAGATGTAAGGAAAAACCAGCTACTAAGATGGCACCACTTGATGTAATATTCAGATGCAAAAGAAACATCCACGTCTTTCCTGCCATGCTGCTGTAAAATCCAGTGTTATGTAGTAAAACGAAATTAGAATTTATGGACAAACTTCTACTTCATTCTTCAAAGCTCTTTAAAAAAACAACAGTCATATTGATGATACTTATAATGGAATATCCCAACTAAACAGATGCAGACTCAAAACATAAATGAAATCAATACTGTAATCCCAATTTGTCACAGTTAAAGCTGTCAAGATTTCCATTAAATAAATATTAGTTCTAGACACCTCAAATCAATTACAATGAAAGTCCTGAATATGAAGTATTTCATAAGCATCCATTTATGGAAGAGCCAATATTGTGCCTATTGCAGAATCAGTGTTTTCTTCCCCTTGCCTAACTAAATGGAAGAAAAAACAGGGAACTACAAAAACAATTTTGGAGGACATACTTGATGAGAAAACAGACTGATTAATGACAAAATCTTCTTTTCCCCCTTCCTTCAAAATCTGTCAACTGGACTGCAACTGCTATGTAGTAGTATTAAATGAGATAAAGAGAGAAGCCAAGAAAATGACTCTGAGTCTCAGCGTGGTCATGTTTACAAAACTGCATAGGTTGCAGAAAGAAAGGTAACATTTTATACAAGTACTTCTACAGTTTTCACAGGCAAGTACGTAGAAATAACCATATGAATCACTAGACAAGATTCTGTATGAAGTAATTAGGTATTACTGCCTGCACTTTTAAGCACAGAGCATTCTACTGAATTATACGCTTTTTATACAAGAGGAAAAAAGCTTACGCAGTAAATATTAATATTACAAGTCTTCTCTGACTTGCAGTTAGAGAGATATAAACAAAATATCGGTAAGAACAAGAAAGTATTATTTGTATTCAAATTTTTTATTAGTTGTCTATAAAATGTAGATAATTAGGTTTATTTATTAACTTGTATTGTAACATCTCTGTGAGAAATGCGATAAATCACCCTAAAAAAGATTATAGATACATCCACTATATTATTTTCTTTCCTAATTTAGATATAAAACTTAATTCATCAGTGTCTTATACAGACTCTTCTTGTAGAGATGATTTTTGAATGAATGGGGAATAAGATGGTTGTGGCCTATATGCACAACACACTTCAAAGAACAAACAGGTACACTAGAGGTAAAACTTTCTTCATTCATTTGTGTATACATATGCTTCATTCAACACAAACTTTTGGTAAACATGGGTGGATGGCCATTTTCTGCTTCTGTTAAAGTCCACAACAGGAATGTTCCTGAGAAAGGCAACATCAGTCCTAACAAAAGTAGCCTGTTTCTCTCAAACTTTAGGATTGTCTACTAAAAACAGAACACTTGCACAAATCAGAAGAGCTCCACAACAGACTGATCATGACCGTTCATATGGAAATCCTACCCAGAGCCTTGATGCTCCACGTACTCTTCTGTTATCTCAAGTAGCTGTCTGGCTGCGACTCGCAAGTGATTCAAGGCCAGCACAAGCAGCCAGCCCTACCGACCACTGGCAAGGGACTTAGAAACATAGGAATAACTGGTTTCCTAACTACGGCAATCTAGGTGCCTCAGGAAGAGCTTGTCAAGCAAATGTGCTGATAGAATTCTTTACAGCATGTAGAGTCAACGTACTTTTCAGACGTTAAAGATGCAGTAGTACCCTGACAGCATGCCTGACCTACATGAGGAAGTTTTATGTTTGCTAAACTGTAACAGATTCTAATGCAGTCGACAACTGAATTAAATCCTCTCTGAGGAGAAACGGTGGGATCCAAAGAGTGCAAACACAGACAAGAAGTATTCCAGCAGCACCACTTCCAGTTAACTGAACTGAACTGGAGGTAAGGATAGCCATTCTAGAAGAGCTTGAGAGTTTGCAGTCCAGAAGCATCCTGGAACAAAGTGTAGGGGTCCTGAGTGTACTAAAAAGCCTCTTAATGGCCCTGAACAGACTCACCTCGGCCCTCCACCACGTGCCCTGCCATTGGCTCAGGAGGTCCATTTCAGCTCAGCCTTCAGTCCCTGCATGAGCTACAGCAGAGGAGTATGGGTCTCCAGCTCAGCCAAGCCTGTGCCTGGCCATGGACTCCATTAATCCAGATCCTGACCCATGGATGGATGCCCAGGTGTGACCTCCCTGCCTTGTCCACCACCTGCTGGCCCTGATCCTGACCCAGGTCTGTGGTTTGCCTTCCCAGCCTGACCTCCATCTGCCTCATCCCCACAAACATATGATCTGGACTCTTAATTGAGCCTGGCCACCACCTCTGGGCCTGCCCTGCTTACCCTGCCCATGTACTGTACAGCTGGGCCCTGGCTGGTGAGACCCTGCCCTGCAGGCCATGCTACCCAGCTGGGCTCCCAGCACCCCAGCCATTCTGGCGAGGGACGGCTGCTCCAACACAGCCCCTTCCCCCCACTAATGTGTCCCACCACTTACACGCCACAATCATGGGCCTACACAACTCCCTCTAAAAGCCGTCCATAACCCGTCATGTACACTGTTATACACTACCACTGTAATAACAAACAATGAAATCTGATATGTTGCAGGGACTATGCATCCTATCCAAATAAGAAAATATGCTCAGCCACCAAAGAGCGAGCAAATGAACAAGTCAAATCACAAATTTCTCCAAAGATATAGAATAAGAATTTTAAAAAGAAACATCTGCATCCACATTAAAAACCCTAATGAAGCATTCCCAGTTTTAAGTACTACGGATAAAATATTCCTGTCAGGTTTAATCTGAATGAGACAAAAGACACAGTGTTTTGAGACACATAACAGACTGAATTCACCCTTATTGAAAATACTTATTTTCTTGGATGGAGATCAAACGGCAATGAATTTGGATTTTCTAACTTTCAAATGTAACTGTTTGGGAGAACTGAAACATCAAAGAGGCTGTTTGTCCTTGAGAGAGAAAAAAAATTACACTCTGCAGCAGCCCATGGATTAGAGTCAACACTTTGGAGTACATGTTAGCAATGACCCACTCCCTCTACAAGTTACCGGTTCAGTATGGAGTACAACATCAGGCTGTGGTTTTTCAAAACCTTGAATGCAATGACAGTCGAGATAGCTACAGAGAAACTGTCACTAAGCTAACAATTACGACTGGGGGCATCACCTCAACTTAATGAACTTCAGTGATGAAAGCGTTAGGAATAAACTTTAAGCACATTCTCATCTTTAGGGTTACCACTGTTGGGAACAAAGGCAAAGCCCTTTATTGCTACTGCCCAAACACAACACAGGCTTCTTTTTTATTTCAGCTGAAGCTTGATTGAAGACTGGCACTAAGAAAAAAAACTTGTTTCTTCACAGGTAATCAAGGCATTAAAATATGAAATGTATATTCAGACTGTCTGCCTCAAAAATATGTATTAAGTGCCTAAGAATGTATAACAAATTATTTCCATTTATCTTAGAGAAGAATTGTGTTCTGGCAGGGAGGTAAAGAGCCAGGAATTTCTAAGATTTGATCCTCTTTCCAGGCATTTTCTAAGGTAAGCCATTTGATGCTTCTGTCTCTACTTCCCTTTTGGGAAAATGACGATAAATGAGAACTTGAACGTGTTATAAATTTTACATAATTAGTATTGAAAAAAATGCCTTTGAAGGGGAAAGGCTCTACATAAATGCCAATATTAAATACACCAAAGGTCAGTGTAATCAGAAGAAATAAAACAGCATTTTACTAATTTAATAGTATATAGATAATTCCCTTTTGGTGAACCCAATTTTCACTGGCTGATCAGAGGTCATTACTCAATCTCAGTGTTTTAGTACCAACATCGATTCCAACGTTGTAAGCGAAGTTCCATAACTTAACTTAGGTCAATAACTATCTGCAGGTTTTATGTAGGAAAGTACAGCCCCTAAAATGAGGAAACAATACAGCTCTTTACAGATACTACTTGGAGTCATCATATGCAAAGTACATATACAAATTATTAGTAAATTACAGTAAGATTGTGAAACAAGAAAGGTTTGTTGCCAATCACATACCCGCCTTTAATATAGTCAAGGAATGAAACTTCTGTTTCAATTAGGAAGGAAAGCAATGTTACCTGAAAGCAAATAAAAGAGAGTCAGACACGAATTGTCATTTCCCAGCTGAACAAGTAGAGACATAAGCACAATGTTTTTGGAACTCTATCCTTAAGACATAATTTCCTACAGTATTAGGGAAAAAAGAATATTAAGAAAATGAAACCATTTCAATAGGCAGTTCTTGAAAGGGAAGAGACAAATTTGGAAGTCTATACCAATAACTTTTTTTTTTTTTTTGGTAAGCAAAAGGGTTGGAAGATTATATTCCAGGGCAGGTTACCATATGCATGTCTTCTGAGCACTGTGCACTGTATCTCCACACGAATATGACAGGCTAGATGGTAATGCATCTATGCTATGAGTACTTTAATACCGTTTAAAGAACTCAATTATTTATGTAATTTCTCATCTAATATTAAAATCAGTTCTGAGTATTGATGCAAGTCAAGAATGCAAAGATCTGGTACATTATACATAGATATATGAGCTATATGAAAAAAAAAGTGGAACATATAAAAAATGCAAAGATAAGAAATTTCTTCAGTCCCAGCTTTTACTATTCAGAAATTATCTAGGTTCAAAACACAGACAGTGGTCTAAAGGTGTTACTGGGATTTCCAGCACTCAAGTCACAGCAGTATAAACTCACGTGGAAAAGACCAGCATTTAAGATCTTCATATATAACACAATATTTATGAAGCAAAGAATTCAATCCAAATTATTTTCATTTTATGAAGTGACACAAAGCTTTCTCATAACGTAAGTGGATCAGGCAGTCAGGAAAACTGCTTAAGTAACTACTCAAAGCAAATCCACTGATAACACAGGGAATAAAAAGGGGATAGAAGTTTGTCAGAAAATTTTATTTGCCTCCAACTGCAGCAAAATATAAAAATTGAAAATATTCCTATGTTGTAAACTTGGACTCAGAATGAGATTACAGGTAGTAATTCTGTCTTCTATCCTACTTCCTTTGTCACAGGTTCTCTGTGATTCTTAGTGACTCGCAAAGTTTAAAACCATCAAATTACCCTTCTAGTTGAGAACAGAAGACCATAACAAAGTTTTACCAGACTATCAGTAGCATGGTCTTGCACATAAGACTGAAATCTCCATGCATTTTCCCACTGGACACAGTAGTTTTAATCATTCATCTGTTGTTACAGCTGGTCATCTTGTTGCTAATTAGTTTAAGCCAATGTTTTCAGTGAATCTGACTTACAGGGGTAAAAACGGAAGCAGACAACACCCTTCCAAAGTGTCCGAAATGTTTACTTCCATACAGACAATGACTACCAATGTTCCATGTTTTATACAGTGAATTTTAAATTTCACTACTTCGCTTTCTTCAAAACTAATCATGCATTCTGAAACACTTCTGCTTAGTATGTAGTTTGTCTGTCTGAATTGAAAATGACCCTTTAAGCAATAATGAACTGAGATGGCTACTGTAGGTACATAGTCCTTAAAAGCAGCGGTGACATAGCAGTCAGTGGTCTATACCCAATTTACTTAAAGTTTTCCAGAAGCCAACTTCCTATTAGTGAGAATGATGGCCTTGGTGCCTGGTTCAAAAATGTAGAAATCTGTGGGATAAAGAATATCTTGGGCGAATGACAGGGAGAAGAAAAACAAAACTGCAGGCAAACACAGAAAATTGACAAATAGGAGAAGCATAAGGGAAGCCTGAAGGAGTAATAGAAGTAAGGGCAAATGGAGGTGAAGAGGACTTGATAAAGAAAAGAAATTACAAAACCAACAGTAGAGATCACTGGTAGAGAAGGAAATAAAATTGCTAACAACCGTTTCTTGGAAATTTCCATGTAATTTGAGACAAGACACAGTTGATTTTGTCTGTCCAAACACAAGTAAAATATGTTCTTTCAAATGCATACATATAAATGTGAAGGTTTTAAAATATTTAAAACCAAAATCAACAGGAAAATTGAACATGTGAATGTATTTTTTGCTCTTCTGTACCCTAAGCCAGAGTTCATACCTACAATTTTGAGTACACTTACTTTTAGTATTGATTTAAAATAACTTTTCTAAGTTTCTGACTCACTAACTTAGCGTAATAAAACTTTATTTTAACAAGCTAAATTGTAGTAAAAGGAATATGTTAGTAAAAAAAAAATATATTATCTAATGAATCAGATCTTGTATGGTATATTTTCGTGGACAAGCTGCCTCTGCCTGTTTTTTAAAATTTAAAGCAGAGGTACTATACAAGTGTTTATCTTCCTGTTGATGAACAGTGTTATACAAGAATGTGACAATAAAAAAACATTCCTTCAAGGCTACAGTTCAGAGTGAAAGTAGCCCTACTGCTTGAGTGGAACTGGTCATGTGGAAAAAACCCCACAGGCCGGATGTGTTTCCAAAAGCCATGTCTTCTATCTGATTAAGTCTTCCAATATACAATTCTTCATGGTTTTTTAAATGATGTTTTGAACATCATGGATGCCAGAACATGGAAGCTGAGAAAGTGCTGAAGGGAATTATTTGCATTGCTAGCAAATGGTTCATAAAACAGAATATGGAATATGAACAAAAGGACATTAAACTCTCATGCCAAACTATAGTAAAGGATCTTTCAACATGAATTTAGAAAAACCTGTTGGTAATAAAAAATGTTGACTCTTTTTGGCTTAGCCATGATAAGCATACTAGCTTTTACTGATGCTAGCTCAGCAGTTAAATCTAAAAAGAAAATTGACTTTTAAAAGTTCAGATATGTTTCAGATAAAAATTATGTGCTCAGTCCAATAATTTCAAGAATTTGACTGAAATTTTGGTAGAACTCATTTGGAAAATCATTGGCAACTTAATAGCACACTTTGACACAGCTTTTATCACTCTTCAAATTAAAAAAATCTGAAAATAAATGCTGTATAACAGTAAATAGTTTATTGTTATGGCCTTCACAGAAGGTTCTATTCTAATCCTGATAAATTACATGCCAACTACACTCTGTTTCAAGACAAAAGAAAAGCATCCAGTAACATAAAATATGTTTACTTACTGTTCCAGAATTAACATATTTTTTCTTTTTTCCTTTTTTCTTTGGATTTATTACCTAGAAACACACATACAAACATTAAAGCAGTGTGATTTATGATTTAACATAAAGATAAGTGTTAAGATGCTTTCAATGCAGAAAGTAGTCTGTTTTCAGTGGATTCTAAATTTATTCAGCATACTGTTTACTTATGCACCTCAATACCGAGATATATGCATATTTGAAAACTGATGAATTTGTCTTTATGGTACCTGCGAGGCAAGCCAGTGCTGTTATTTGCATTTGACAAATAGGGGACCAGGGCAACAGAGGTGAGGGTGTTCATTAAATCCGAGTGCTCAGTGAAACACTGCATTTTCTGAGATTGCAAGATGCAAGATTCTGCATTTTTCTGCATTCCTGATTCTGGTGTTTCAGTGTACTGTGTCACCACTCCTTCAACTCACAGTGCACCTCTTCACACTCCAGTTAATCTGTTTCCATCTTCTCCTCAGTATTATCCGAGAAACACGAGACTGATTCTACTCCTAGGTTCTGTATTTGGTGCAATGACAGGATCTGGCTGATAGGAAGAGCAACTAGGGGGACGGACCATACTGTGCCATTATAGAAACTAGTCACTAATTTCATGAAAACAGCACAGACTGGCATACAGGAGTTGTGGGGGCTCAATGCACTCCCCCTACACAAGAATCTTCATGGAACTGGACTACAAAGCATCAAACAGTTTTCTTGAATGTCTTGAACCCACACCTATAAAATTTCTCACTGTAGCCACCAATAAAAATCGTTTCCCTTCGGAATACCTACCCACTCAAAGGCAAGTCTCAGTCGGTTTCATGACATACACATTAAAATGTAATCCTGCTTCTTTCAGAATTGCACATGGAATTGGAAGCAAAACATTATTTTGTTAATTAGGTTGACCAACTATCTCCTATATAACTCAGCAACTCAAATCTTTGTGGCTTACTGCCAAGTTTTACTGCAAACTACTCACAGATGTTCTGTGAATGACAAGGAATGAAAACATTCCCAATTGAAATCTTAGTCACTTAACTGCTATAAAATATTTAAACAATTTTGCCTGAATATGGGAAAAATAGTAATACATGCCTTCCAAAAATTCTCTGCCCCCAACCAAAATGAAATTACATTTAAAGATCATGTTCCTTGCACAACACAGAACAGCTGTGAAATGTAAGGCAGAAAGAGATAACTATCATTTGAGATCTTCCCGAACAGGCTAAATGAGAACAGGCTAAATTTCTTTCCTTCCAGCATGCCACCCAGTTATCCAGTAAGTATTCTTCAAGCTTTTACTGCCTTACACATACATAAGCCCTTTAACACTTAAAAAAAACCCCAAATAACCCCTGTCCCTCCTATTAACAGTCTTGATTGGTGAGCAATGGATTAAATCTGTGTAATGGTGATTTATAAACA